ACCGCCTCAACCCAACCACACATAAACCATGTTGACACACATATCCAACAAACAAGCATACAAATAACCAACAAATAATCAAACAGAGCCTTCAGCCTGACTGGTATGCCTCATCGGCCTACAGTCCATTTGGTACGCTCACAGAACCTACAAAATGACTGGTACGCCACGTTGGGCCTTCAGTCTGTCTGGAATGTTCTTCGGGCCTTTGGCCTGATTGGTACGCCTATTGGCCTGCAGTCTATCCGGGACGCCCTGGGTCTCTTGGCCTTTAGCACATAGCATGACCGCCTCAACCCAACCACACATAACATGTCAACATATACATATCCAAAACACATATAAGTCCAGTAAACTATAACAACATATTGATATAAACATTATCGGGTTTGTTAACTGACAACACGAAGCAAAACAGTCTCAACCCACCCATACTACAATGACATATACACAACTAAACATATAACCAGTTAACAGACAAATAGGCAGATCTTACATATTACTAAGCATACCAACATGCGATAAACCAGGATAACAATCCAATTGGCCGACCTTGGTGCCTTCAACCTAAGAGTACAGTGAGGAAGACTCACCTCTCGATCTGATCCATAGCTGATGGGGACCGACTCCGAATCTCAGCTCTTTAACCGATACCTGTTTCCACCGAGTAACCAATTCCATCAAAATCCCAAAATACCCAAAATACCCTCAAGGACCAACTTGGTCAAAGTCAAAGTCAACAACCCATGTTGACCAAACATGCTGTTTTGCCCCTTGGACACGCCGTGTTCTTCCATCATTCAGATAATCGGGAAAACCCCAGCCAACATGTCGTGTTTGCCCGAGATTCAACAACTTAATACAATAAGCTGTTTTCTCCGATACCAAGAGCTCCAAAGCTCAGATCTAGCCTCTCATGTGGTCAAGAGGGATAAAGTTTCCAATCCAACTTTATCCATTGAGACTACCCAAAAAGGTTCAAAACTCAATCCATAAGCTTAATAGTGCAAGAGCTTAACCAATAAACACTTAATCCATAAAGACATAGTCCCAAAACATAGATCTGGCTTCCTTGAGCTGGAAAACCACGTAAAGTTGCCAACTTTACGTTCACGCATGCCTAAATGAAGCTCTTAAGCTTAAAAAGGACTTAATAATTGACTTAATACATGCATGACACCAAAACTCTCATAGAGCTTGCACATTTTTGCATAAGGATACCAAAACAAACTCAAATCTGAAGAAACAAGCCCTAAAACAACCTAACTCATCCATTAACCCAAAAGGGACCAAAAGCACAACAAACTAACTATGAAGAGAGATTATGGAAAGCGTGTCAAGAAAGTTTCCTACAAAATCTAGTTCATCATCGTCTAAACGATCTAACGTTTCAACTGTGGAGACATTGATCACTTTGCTCATGACTGAAAATCAAGAAAAACATCCCAAAGGATGATTCCTATGAAGCAAATTTCAAGCGTTTGGTTGCCTATTTGAAAAGGCAAAACCTGGAGTCAAAGGTTCTTGTCATTGAAGAAGAAGAGTGGGTAGATGATGAAGAATCTTCAGATGAAGAGGTTAAGAATCTTCGGATGAAGAAGTTAATTTCTATAGACGCTCTCACTACTACACTGACCTCCATCTGAGATCCAAAGATCTCATTGTCAAGATAATGGCTCTTGACTCTTTTCCCGTGATTCATAATCCTTTGTCCCATAAGTTTCCACTTGTTGATTTACGTAACTCGAAGGTTACAAAGATTACAACCTTTTAACTTGTAGGTTACAAAGATTGTTTTCCTCCAGATCTTTCTTCATGGTGATGGATATGAAGCTTAGAATCCATCCGAATTATGGTTTCTTCAAAGAATAAGAACATTTATGCCTTCATCTCTTTCGTTAATTCTATATTTTGATAAGTTTGAGTGTGTGAAATGCTTGCTAATATGACTCTCGTTTATGACAGTTTTTTGTGTGGCAGGTATCTTGAAAAGAGGAAGTACTTTTATGGGCATCCAATTCAAAAGATACGCCAAATTAGGATTTTATTATTGAAAAAGCTGCATTTTTCTCTTTTGACTATTTCCTTGTTGATTGTTTCCTTTTTAATTTTGTTTTGAGTAAATTACACGAATGGTCCCTATGGTTTGGGGTGATTTGCGTATTCAGTCCCTAGCTTTTTTTTAAACTCGGATCGTCCCTGTAGTTTTGTTTTGCACGTTTCAACCCTGCCACACTTAAAATGACTATACTACCCTTATAAGATTTCTTTTATATTTTTAATTAGGTAAATAAATATTTAAATAATAAATATATTTTTTAATTAATTTATTATTAACCAAAAATGCCCCCACCCATCCATATGAGACGCATATGAGTATTTCTTCTCTTGTGGTTTTTCACCAACAAAGCTTCTCATCATCGTTCTACACCTTCGTCGGAGTTTCATCACCAAAACGATCTTGTCACGCCTCTGATGCCCCGCCCATCCCACCCTATATGAGACCTCCATCGTCTACAATCTCCAATCTGAGCCCACAACTTCTTTGTAAACTTGCAAACTGTATGAAATCCTCTCTGCCGCCGCCTCTTGTTCCCCTCTTATCCCCTGAACATGTACCTCCTTCTGTTAAATCTCTTTGTTTTGCTGGTTTGATGATGATGGAGCAGTAGAAAAAGAAAGAGAGAAAGAGAATCAGCTAGTCGTGGGGTCGAAACTACAAGAATTGTTTATGAGAAATTAGGGAATCGATTGAAATGCTCAATTGCTTAAATATTTGGGTTCCTTCTGAAATTCGAGATGGAAATTGGTAGTCCTGAAATTAGGGATTATAATGGAAACTATAACTTTCATGTTGATAACTTATTTGTTGTATAATTTTCCGGAGAAGAGAGACGGTGTCAGAATCTGTGGAAGGCGTGAAAGGCTGATGAAGGAGTAAGGAACAATTGAAGTTGTCTTTTCACCCGACCATGTCCCTGGAAACATGCTGCCGTATGTACAAGTCTAGTGTTCTGCTGAAACACTGTATATTTACCCTATGGCTTACCCTGATTGCAATGTCGTCAGCGTGAGAGATGCTTGTCTGGTTCTTCAAAGACAAAGGGTTACCCATGTCACCGATCTCCTAGTTTGAAATAAAACATGGTACCAATATGAATTAACCGTGAAATTTTCTTTCCTAGTTTTTACAATCCTCTTTCTTGATGTTAATGATGGGTTGTCAAACCAACATTTGTTGAAACATCTTTTCCCCATGTTAATGATCTTGCTATGAAACTGATAGTGAATGAAACATACTTAACGCTGATGTCAAAGAATTTATGTATCAAACCATACGGTAAGGGAGTTTTAACAACCCAATGTCTAGGATCACGATGTATTATCCCATATAATGTGTGAGACATTAAACAAAAAACTGATCATATGTTTGGCCGCACGTAAATAAAATAAAACTGATCATATGATTATCCCATTACAGTCGGTCATAATGATCATATGTTTGGCCGCACGTAAATAAAATAAAACTATAAGATAATTCTAATAAGTAATTCCCTCTTTATATGTTTGGGAGTAAATTACACGAATCATCCCTCATTTGGGTGTCAAAATGCACGTTCAGTCCCTATTTTGAAAAATTAACTCGGATCGTCCCTCGTTTGGTTAAAAGTTGCACGTTTCATCCCTCGTTAATTTAAATTTACGCGATTAATCCCTTCGTGAGAAATGAAATGACTACAATTCCCTTTTCAATTTATTTTTAACATTTCAGATTATTTTTAATTATTGAAAAATATTTTAATTAAAATTATGGGTCCATCCAATTTTAATTCTTTAAACCTAATATATATATATATATATATATATATATATATATATATATATATATATATATATATATATATATATATATATATTCTCTTTTGTTGAACGGTTAACAACCGACATCACCACTGGAGAAATGGAGCAACATCCAAAATGTGTGCATCCACCCCTTATCTTCCCCTCCTGATATGATATTCTCCAGAAGTTGAAAATCAAAAATCAAAAATCTGATACCTGCAAGCCAAATGATTCTAGAAACTAAAAATTGTTCCAGAAATCTCCAACTCGTTCTAGAAATCAAAAATGGTTGTGGATCCTTTTGAAAACCTAAAATCTGCATACTGGTTTCTCTCCCTCTCATCTCAACTGGTTTTTTTCTGAAACCCTTGAGCCGTCATCGCCATTTGATTCATCGTTCTTCTTTTAGATCAGAGAACACAAAACACAAACACACATTGTGTGTGTCTATTGATCCGAATCAGAGAGAGAGAGAGAGAGAGAGAGAGAGAGAGAGAGAGAGAGAGAGAGAGAACAAAATGTCGCCATCGTTACCCGTGCACTAGGGTTTTGAGAAATCGGTAGGAGATGTGTGGTTTCAGATCGAGAACTTTAGGGGTTTCATGAAGGATTTCACTTTGTGGGTTTCAGATCAAGCGTCACAACCACTAGTAATCTCTTTTTCCTTCGTGTGTCGCAACCACAATTGGAGTTCAACTGGTGGTTTTCGGAGGAGGCTGTACATAGTGGGACAGAGGTTGTACACGCAGAGGAGGGTCGTCGATGGAGACGATTTGTGTTCGATTTGAACCTACTTCTCCGATCTGAATCCCTCTCTTCTCTGATGGACTTGTGACTTGTTCCGGTGAGGAGATGCACAAAGACGAACTGAAGTAGAAATGGGGGAGGGAGACGATCTGTAGGTTTAAAGTCTATTTCTTTTATTAAAGGAAATAAATATTTTTTTATAATAACAAAATCAATAAACAATTAATAAATAACAATTAAATAGAAAATAAATCAAAAAAGAAATAAATAAGGGCAAAATTGTCTTTTTATGTTTGGAGGGATGAAGCGTGTAACTTTTAGCCAAACGAGGGACGGTCCGAGTTAATTTTGAAAATAAGGACTGCACGTGCATTTTGGCACCAGGAGGGACGATTCGTGTAATTTACTCTATGTTTGCCCATTTTCTTTTGTTTTCGCATACCCCGTGCCGCCCAGCCTCATCGCACATTTTTCCTGCAGGAACAAGTTGTAGGTTTGTGTTTGTCATCTCGCTGCTATTGATCTCCACTATCGACCACGAGTACGGAATTCAGGAAGGGTATCAAGCAGCCGTAGCGTTTCCTTCGAGCTCTTCAACCTCTTCTCTTGCAAAACCTAACAAGGTAGGTATCAATCAACGAGTTAAATTCGTTTGTCTTTATACTTACATATCTTGTATCCTACCTGTTTGATGAAAGTCCCCAATGAAACTCGAGCTCAATAGCTTACGCCCAATGGTCCAGAACTAGGTCGCGACTTGCAGAAAGAACACAATTTAACATACGAGCCCTGCTTGCCTGTAAAATGGCGCTAGTTTCTCAAGTTTGCTACTCGTTGTGACACCATTTCCTTGATAATACTGAAGTATGTAGGTTTTCATGATTTGGGGTTTTTACAAAAGTCTAAATTCGTTATCGGACTTTTGAAGTCATTACCTTTTATTTACCACCATCAAACTTTGAGAAGTATGTAGGTTTTAGTAATGGCTCTACATTAGAAATGCAGTAGAAGTTTGTTGCTGTTTATGGTGTTATCCCTTCATGATACGGATAGAGTTATACATATCTTTTTGTTTGAGAAATTTATCTTATGTAAAAGATGTCATAATTATTTCTCTTGATCAATTCCACTACAGATAATCCTGGTTTCTTCTTAAGAAAAAATTGATGAACAATATGACAAAGAATGAACATTTCCCCCCAATTTATCTGTGTTTTGATGCAAAATATGCAACCATGCTTCATTTTAGGAGCTGCATAAATTGGTAAAATTATGAAACATTGTTTCATAAATTGGTAAAAGAGTGGACTAAATTGTTCTTACTTTCAAATTTCTTCTATTGAAGGCTTTGAAGAAAAAAGTGGACTAAATAAATCTATTAGTATTTACAAAATGCTGGGTGGGCCCGGACTTGAAACAGTCGTTGATCGTAAGTACATAATATTTACTCTCATATTTCTTTTTTTATTTCCCATTAATTATTGTATGCATAAATGATGTTTATACATACAACATATTATACTCTCCCTAATATTTTATTTCCTTTATAGAAATCATTTCTGTTATCACAAACGATGGGCGCAACATAGTGGTAAGCTCTTTATATATTTATTTGATCAATATATTACAATAATATTTACAAATCTAAATTGTTTTTGTAATAATATTGTTTTGAAATTAGGGAGTTTTGAAAGGGTTCGATCAAGCGACAAACATAATTCTTGATGAATCTCATGAAAGAGTTTATTCCACCAAGGTCAGTTTAAATCCTATTTTCATTTTTTTTTTTTTTTTTTTTTTTTTTGTTATTAAGTCGATTGTATTTTGAAAAATCTACTAATTTATAGCATTGTGCTTTCAATTCTTTTCTTATTAATAATTGGGTAGATATTTTTATTGAAGTACAATGTTATAATCATATAATATGAAGAAATGAAAGTAAGATGCTATCTTATATAAATAAATGAAAGCACATTGTTATTTTATGTCAAGTAATGTTTGACTATTTCTTTGACTTTCAGGAAGGTGTTCAACAACTTGTATTAGGCCTCTACATCATACGGGGTGATAACATGTATGGCTCTTTTTTTAAAACTATGAAATAAATTTATGTTAAATTACTTGATTAAAAAAATTGGACCTTTACTTATTATTTGTTTTTGTATTTTTTTTTGGAATGCAGAAGTGTTATTGGGGAATTAGATGAAGAGCTTGATGCAAGCTTGGATTTAACAGAATTAAGAGCCCATCCTTTGAAGCCTATTATTCATTGATCATCTTCATGTTTATGAATATGTAGACTTAAATGTTCTATGAAAATTTTTAAATTTAGTTTTTGAATGAAAATTTTATCGGATTAAGGACACATGAAATCGAAGTGCTTAGTATCTATTCGTGATTTTTACATTTAGCTGTATTAATTGTTGTGTGTGTTGATGATGTTTAGAAAGTATTTGAGAAAATAATGGAACACTGATACATTTGGGGAATGGAAGAAAAAAAAGAACATATTAAATAGTTTTTTCTGCATTAAATCCAAGAATAAATACTAATATACAGTTTAACAAATTAATTTTTCGTCCCTAACACAACCTTAGTCACAAATGATAGTCTCCTTACATATCTTGCCCATGTTAATTGATACAAGATACTGAATGGCTTTCATTTTTTTTTGTCCACCAGTTTTCGTACTTGTCTGAAGGCGTTCTAGATATTTGATTAATAATTAAACATAAGAGCTGCTAATAGATTTTTACTTTATTGTTTATGGTATAAATCAAAGTGGTTTAAACTTTAACTTATAACTAATTCCAATTAAAAGGTTTTTAGTCCAGTGGTAAGTCTTTGTTTGAGACATAAATGAAATTAAAAGTTGATTAAGTTTGCTGTTAAAAAAAATAAATATAAAATAATAATCCCAATTTTTTAAGACCACCCCTACTACCATATTACAATTTGTTGTTAGTTTGTTACTTGAGATTTTAAATTTCTCACGATATTGATTTTGTATCGTTGTTGTTCACTTCCAGAATTAGAAGTAGATTAAATTTTCCGTTTAAAAAAATAAAAACAAATAATAATCCTATTTTTTAAGCCCACCCCTACTATGATACTACAATTTAGGGAAATCGAGTAATCTAACCCTTATAAACGACCATTTTAATAAAAATAACCAACTTTTTTTTGGTAAAATTACCACTTGCTCCGGAACATAGCATTTCAGAGCATGTGGTCTTCGTTCCGGAGTACCTATTCCAGAGTTCCTACTCCAGATTATAACCTCAATTTTTTTCGTCTCCTATATATATATATATATATATATATATAATATATATTATATATATATTATGTGTGTGTGTGTGTGTGTGTGTGTGTGTGTGTGTGTGTGTGCGTGCTTAGAACCTTACATTCAATCAAGTAATTCGTAACTATCTGTCACACCCCAAAACCGGAACGGAGGAAACGTTCTGGGGTGGAGGACGTCATGTATAGCATCACAAGACATACATCATAGTAATCAAAGTAATAAACAACCATTTCATTAGAAAGAAAGTGTTTACAAAGTATGTGATTCACATAATATAGAATACATAGCAAATAACAAAAAGACATGAAGCTATACTGCTCCATCTTCTGAATCCCAGTGCGCGTACCTGTCTACTGGTCTCCTGAGAATACAAGTTATTTTGAAAGAGTAGATCATCATTTAAGCCGGTGAGTTCATAAGATTTTAGTGATGTAAGTAAGTTGTAGAAAGTGGTAGTAAGTTTGTAAGTTCTGTTTAGAAAAGTTCGCATGTTCCTCCATAAAATCCTATATTTCCTGCTTTGATGAAAGATAAGTAAAAATGACTCTACAATCCTTTCTACGAGTACTAAATGGATACAAGTTATATAAAACCCAGAGTAAACAAACAATCGGTTGTGTGTATCTGCCCTAAGCCCACAACCAAACAAGGAACAGGAAATGAGTCGGAAGGCACACATCCCATTGTTTGTTAGATCATCGTTGTATATAACCCTGGCGTATTCACTTGGTACTCACGGAGTTAACTGTAATAGTTCCTTTATATTTTATGAAAATATTCTTTAAGAAAACCCTTATTTCTTTTAATAAAAATGGTAACCACAGTGGTTCCTTCTATAATTGAAGCGGAAAGCACACATCCAACTACCTATCGGATATTAATTATATGTAACCTTGATGTATAAACTAAGGTATTATAGAATTAACCACCTAAGGTCCTTTAACTTATACTGGTTTAATAAAATGGATTAAACCCTTTAGTGGTAAGTTTCTAGTTTTGTATACCAAAAGTTCTGATTTGAAAAGTATGTTTTGTACTAGAAAACTGTGCATTGAATTAGTGTCCTATGACCTGGCCCATACCTGGTAACCCTTATGATTACTTGGTGTATACGGAACATATATATAGCTAAGATCTGATAGATAAGAGGCTGGGTGAATCTGTTCTAAGCCCACAACCAAACAAGGAACAAGAAATGAAGCGGAAAGCACACATCCTACTACCTGTCGGACCCGATTAATATATATCCCTGAATGCATACACTAAGGAATCATAAAGTTAGCATTATAGGCCCCCTTTCTACTGAATGTACTAGACTCGACTGTTCTGTTTTTCGTTTGTAAAATGTAAGTTTTCCCTAGTTTATAACTATCTTGACTCGAAAATAGTTTGCATTAATTTTCAAGTGGAACTGTCACAAAATGAAAGTAATGGGAAATTATAAGTACACAGTTGTCTTTTGAATTGACAAACTGAAGTACTGATTTACCTTTAAAACATGTTTGTTTTATTAAGGTCATAATGTGATGAATAGTACCCATACTATACGCTCTCCCTGCAAGAGATTCTGGGGACCAAACGCGACTTCCTCAAACAAATTGCTAGGCCGTGTAAAATTCACATTAATGTTATATGATCATGTATACCCAATTTTACAATCACCTTTTGTTTAGAACAATGAGTTAGTGATTCATTGGTATAATTAGATGCTGTAGTGTTCTCATGCTATAGCATCTTAGTATGTTCGTTCTGTTAGAGTATCTTAGTATGTTCGTTCTGTTATCATGTATAGTGTATAGTATGCCTCTCTGATGTATTGTATCTACCTCCCTGTTTCTCTTTATAGTATCCTCTAGTATCTAGTATGAACTGAACCTCTAAACTATACCCAATTATAGTTTACTAGTATTTTACTTGAACTGTTATTGAAAAGACTCATTTTACTACTAAGTTATGCTTGTACTTTAAAAACGGAGTTTTGTTGAACTATAAAGTAACATAACTTTAAAAGAGTTTTTGAAATGTTTTGAACACTTATAAAAGACATAAGCAATCTTTTGAAAGATGTTTATAACAAACAATTACACAATTATCATTGTGTTCAACTTGTATTCCCCCCTTAAAAGCATTTAAAACAGTTAAAAGATTCATTATAGGGGTATGAACTCACCTTATGTGGGTGATTCAAACGAATATGCGCGTAAGGATGAGAAGTTCCACGAATGAAGTCCCGAGACACAACGAGTCCTAAATGACATATAATGGCATATATTGGCATAAATATAGGGTTTAGAAGCAACCACATGCAAGGAAACACCTTTAGGGACTAGGAAACACTTGGACCAAGTGTTAGAATCACATGTGATTCATCTAAGGCGAGTGTACGACCACAATGAGGAGTGTGCGGCCATGGGTGTACGGCCATGGAGTGTGCGGCCGTACACTCATGGTAATAAGTGCACAAAAGTGTTTTCTAATGAATGGGAAGCTTGTAGGACAATTGCACATCAAGTGTTGAAGCTAGAATTGCACTTTGAAGGCCCTTTAGGGGTGTTTTGAGGGGTGTACGGCCACACCTGGGTGTACGGCCGTACACTCCTTATGTTCTTGAGTTAGGGACATTTTTAGGGTGTTAATCTAGTGTTCTTATCAAGTTCTAAGCATAGGGAAGGAGTACTTACGATCTGGAGGCTCAAGAAGGTTCACAATCACCAAGAACAAGTGTGTGTTCTTGGTGAAATGGATGAAGATTTGAAGATCTAGCCAAAAGATGATTTCAAATGGATGAAATCAAAGGGTGTTACTAGGTGAAGAAGGATAACAAAAAATCAAAACGGAAGAAAGGCTTACATTGTTGAAGATCGGGTGAAGGGCTCGATGATAGTTGAGAGAGAAATCGATGTTCTTGACTTGGAAACTGAAGAAATGGCTTGGAAATGAAAGGGAATCACTCTTAGGGAGGGGGTGTACGGCCGACATGGGTGTACGGCCGCACACACATGTGTGTACGGCCGCACACTCATGTGTACGGCCGTACACTCCCTCAAATGGAGTGTAGGGCTTGATTTCAAGGCTAGGAACTTACGTAACTCAATCCTATAATGAATGCTTGAATGTACTGAGATTTTAACCCTTAAACAAAGTCTAAACAAGGCTAACTGATAGCAGAAACGAGTCTGACACTCGGTTAAGTTGAATGGCTGAACTTACAAGGCAAAAATTTTCGGGTTGTCACATCATCCCCCCGTTAGATGGAATTTCGTCCCGAAATTAGCTTTCTTAGCAGTACTACTGGGGTTGCGCTCCTCTGATTGGCAGAATACCCACTCGTAGACCTGGCAACTTTGCCCTATTGTTGATGATAGGATTCATACTTGGTCCATCTATCATTACCTCGTGTATACAAGTCGTATATAATTAGGATTAGTAAGACGGTCGGATGTGCGACTCTGCCCCAGGTCCACAACCAAACAAGGAACAGGAGATAGGGCGGAAGCACACATACTAAATCTGCGTAATCATAATCATATACCACCCTCGCGTATACACTGAATAGTGATAGGTGGGCTGTATTCGTCCTTAGCCTCTGTGCTCGAACTTGGTCTGCTGGACGAGTGGTATTTCGTGAAGGTCTGTGGAACATACAGCGGCAAGGCTTCGGAGGGCAAAGTACTCTTCGCACGAGTACTTCGGGGTTTAGAATACGAAGACAAAACTGAGGTTTAGGTCGGACTGTCGTTACGAATGACGAAGGTTTCGTGAATTTGACGGTCGAGGCGATAGAAACATATGAACTTAGTATGGTGAAGACCACGCCAACTCATGACGAATGATAGAAACGGACTCTTTACTGAACAAAGTTTGGCCGATTTGAAAGAAACGTCTGTTATACGATGATGTACCCCTAGTGTGCTCGACAATGTACTCTTTGTAAATGTTCTAGTGCTTTCTGTTTTCCCCTTGTTGTTAACACTTCTACGTATCGTACCGCGATGAGCGAGTACATACAACGAAAGTGCTTTGATAACTAGTGTCGATACTTTATACTACGATCCTCCTTGGTACCACTATG